AAAAGACCTAGCGCAATCAGAAGCTTATACTGCCATGTTAAGGAAAAACGCAGTATGAACCTTCAGGCGTTGACAAATTTCCTTTTATAAACCGCGAATTTCCTGATAAATGTATGAATATTTTCCTCCTAATTTTTCAGATATTTTAGTTCATAATTTCACCTAAAGATTCTGGAAATTCAAAGGAAAAATAATAACTTCCTAAAAAATGAACATTTTATCGAAGGAAATTCGGCAACTCTCGAATGTCCATACGGCGTTCTTCCTTAGCTGGGCAGCATATCGACGGTGTAAGTCGGCGATCGCATAACTCGGTTTGTGACGTCGCAGACTTCCTATCATATTTTATTTTTTAAACGGAAAACTACTCAACGGCAATTCTTTACAACTGTCGTGATTTTTTTCTCTCAATGCGAAGAAAATTCTTCAAAAACTTCAAGAAATGATATCAATTTGTTCTCCTTTAAAAAACTAACATAGAGGCGGAGATTTTCAGACACCGCAAACGAGTTATGTTATTGCTGACGTACACCGTCGATACAGACACTGCACTGTCTATACAACATCCTTACAAAATGTAAAAAGAATTTACCAAATCTATCACCGTGTATAGGTAGAACCATTGAACTGTGACCATGTTTGGGTAAAGGGACTTCAGTCCACAAAAACTCAAAAATAGGTTATTGATATCACAGCATGGAGGAGTGTTTGACGAAAATTTCGTAGCTACTCTGAGGGCGTATATCCATTTCCAAATGAGCCCCCCACAGTATGAAAATTTATGGGCAACAGGGCTCATGTTTGGAAATTGAGATACCCCTCACGTCGGAGGAGGAACGATTTTAAGGACGAAACGTATGATAATGTCAAAATGAACGCGAGTTACTAAATGAAGATTTGAAGTCGTAATTTCGGAAAAATTGACGTATCCTGCGGAACGGCTAGATGCAACTATTCGTGTTCAAAGGATGTCCACGTTGCATATACAAAAAATTGCAGGCGCTTTGTCAGACGCGCAAGTTTGAACGATGAGTAGTCTGTCTGCGATTGTAATACTACAAGCTCAAAGAGAAAGAGTTTGATAGGAATTACTATCCTAGGTAAATCGAGCTCCCCAAGAGAGAGATCAACAGCAAATTAAAATCGGTAGATTTATCAGAAAATCGTGTTGTGCTGTTAGAATCTTTCAAGTGAACAAAAATTAGGAAGATGCTTCTCAACGTCAAGTTCGATCATCAAATTACCGCATTAATTGGACTATTTTTTCAAACGGAACTATGTGCATTATGACGTGAGCCCTGTTATGCATACACTCTTATGGCTCTCAGGGCTCAATCCTTAATGCACATAGTTCCGTTTAATAGAAATACGTCCAATTGCATATTTTTATTTTTTCTACTGTGGTTCACCAACCAACGATGCAAAAAGTTAAAATGGATTGGTGACTTGGCGTTTGAACAAATCCAACAATAAATTACATCCCACTTATACCTAAAATACTTTAGTTCAAAAGAGGAATTCTGTGACCAGCGTGGCTGACAAATTGGTTCTTGCCCTTGTTCTCTCAAACAATAAGAGCTCAATTTTGAAAATAATAAATCCCTTCATCGTACGAGTTTTCTAATTTTACAGACAATGACATTCCTTGACTGCAGTCCAAATGACCCACTCATGGTTACGCGAGAAAGTTCAATGCTTACAACTTCAAACGCACAAACATGAATATTAATAAAGTCAAGGGCACTAACTTACCACAGCATGATTTTCGATTGACACTACTGGCACTCCCGATTATTAACGGGAGCTTTTCTTTGGACGGCATTTCTCTTTCAAATTAGCGATGATAGTTACACATGCAAGCAGCAATAAAAGTTACGGGAAATTCACAGCTTCCCAATCAATTTAGAGGTGACAAAGGTTCTAAGAGTAATTTCAAGCGCAGGGGTGTTCTTTTTAGGTAAACATGTATTCAAATCAGCACATGCCAATGGGAAACCTATTCTCAATCACATAAAATGACGGTAAAACTTTAAAAGGGGCTTTAAAAGTGTGATCTCCGCGAAAGGTACTTTATCTGTAACGGGAATGTGTAAAAATATATTGTAGAGTATTTTGGAACAAAATATATGCTAGAACTTAGATATTAAGGCCGAGTAAACCGTGTCGGAATAAGTCGATCAAGAAACTGCCGGTATATTATCACTTGAGTAGAGGTAGCGAGAAAAGTTTGTCGTGGTGCCGATGAGGTCGGGGTCAATGAGATTGGAGCTATCGGTGGGACCAACGCATCTAGTCGTGTGCACTTTTGAGAAAATGGTCTTTGAGAAAAATCGACGGTGTAATAGTTAAGGCATTTAGGGCTTACTCGTTTGATCCATTTGGCCTGTTTAAGGTGTCGAGCATTTTTGGGATTTTTTTCGAAATCACTTTTAATTCTGAGAGACTCTCTTGTATTATAGTACAATTTCATTCATTGGCCCATCATTTATCAATCTTGTTCTTATTTTATTAATTTACTTTCATCGTTCTTTATATGTTTCCAGTTTTTCTTCTTTAATTGCCCTTGAATAAACGAGTAGGGTTTGAGAATTGTAAAAAAACAGGCTATCTAAACATACCGTTCATCAAATAACTGCATAAGGCGCTCACTTCAAAATACAAGGTTTAGGTGCTCTGGAAATCAACCACTGAACATATAACGAGGACGCTATGTCCTGGGATTCTCGGATCCATGCGCTGTTGAATTTCTAAAAGCATGGCTCATTAACCTCGTTGAAATATTCTAAAAATGCGTATGCGTCTACCCAATATAAATGGTGGATGATATACAATTAAAAAGGTTTTAAAATAATCTAAGATGATTTTTAAATATGTTCTAAAAACATTAATGGCAAGTCGGAAAATGCATAACTCTATTGCAACGTTTAAACGGGAAGAGAGGGAGCAGGAATACCATCAAGTTACGTTCTGGTGCGGGAAATGTACCAGAATGATCTCAAAATTACTAATTTTTCTTTAGAATCAGCATATTGATAACCAGAGTCTGAAACCAGAGTCCGGAACTACTTATCTATATTGCGTTCAAAATTTCCGTTATTTTTTTCAAGGGAATTAGGCCAAATTATTAATGACTTAAAAGTTCAGAATATTCTGCTATCAAAGAAGAAAAATCAAGGAAGTTTTCAAGAAATTACGCCCGCTAGTTATCCAAAGAAAAAATAAAGTATAACGGGGAGTCTGTAACGTTGCAGTTAAAAGAAAATGTGCATTCGTGGTTCCGTAATTTGGCCATCAATATCCCGCTTAATTCCTTAAAAAGTGTGATGGAATTTTGAAAAAATATTCTATAAAAGAAGCCTGTGTCACGCTTTCAAAATACTCCATCAAAATATCAAGGTCAAGTGCTGTGATTGGTCAAAGTCATATAATAAGCCAATCACAACTCCTGACCTTGATATTTTGCTGGCTAGCTTTGAAAGTGTGACACAGGCTTATTAGGATTTACAAAAACCGTTTTCTTTGGAAAGGTTCCTAGACCCCTGAGAGGCGTCTTGCAACTAAACCTCATTAATTCCACAAATCACACTATTTGACAACTCGGTAGCGATATTCACTCGAAATCCGAGATTTGTTATTACCAGCGTGATTGTGTATGCAGTTTAAATATGTCTTCAAGCACGAATTGTCTCAGTCAGGCGTTGTAATTCGGTAAGGCAGAGTGCCTGCAATTTTTCAAGTATGCAATGCGGACATCCTTCGGACACGAATAGTTGCATCAAGGCGTTGTTATTAAAAAGACCATTTCGCTTTCAATTTTCTCCGCATCGTATGTTTACAAATATGTGTAAGGTAATTGCATTTGATTCTTATTACGGTCACAAATATATAATGATAAGAATGTATTAAAAAAGTGGAATATGAGTGAATAAAAATACTTGAATAAAATAAAGGCTTCTTTTGCGGCAGTTGACAAGGTCATTTTAGTAGCAATTTTTGTCATTGATTAAATTTTCTCTTTTAAGTTAGTATTCATGACTTACTGATCATATTCTCTTTGCGTGACAGCGTTGCCAAATACTGCAATTTTTGGAAACCTTTAAGGAGGAGGAGGAAATACTGTACATTAAAAAGGAAGAGGAGGGTAAAAAATTCGGTCAAAATGCCTTACTTGAGATACTTAAATGACCCTAAAATGGTGATATACATGGTACATGGTGTGATATTTCGGAAGACAAGTTGGCCTAGATGAATTCTTGTTTCATTTTAAATCTCGGATTTGAATCTATAAAGCTTGGTTAACAGATGATAACTCTTGATTTGTTCGCTCAGAATTGTTGAACGTGTTTTTCTCCTCATTCTTGAGAATAAAAATTTCTCTAGCCTGCTGCGTACGTAATCAAAAGTTTGCCTTACATATCTTCCGTCTTTCATAAAACTGTAATACTCCTAACGATGAGCTCCGTTGTCTTCCGAACATGTTTTGATTGAGTATTGCCAAATGTTTCCCTTTGCAGCAATAATTTCTTTTGTTGTGATCGGATTTGTATACAGATTGTACAAGTCTCGAAATTATGTCTCAGAAAACTTTATTCACAATATTCGCTAGTGCGTGTCTGGTTGCTTTAGTGGTACGTTTTATTTTACTCATACGTTTACCTATCAATTAGGTAGACCTTGGGAATTTTTAGCATCAAGTAATGAATAATTTTAAGGAATTGTTCAACTCATTTTCGATTTAAAGCCCAAATGTTTTCACAATTCGCTCCTTATTGCCCAATGAGAGGCAATTTTGAATCACCACACTTGAACTACATATACGTAAAGAAAACCGCTCGTAGCTTGTTCTTAAAGTTTCTAGAGAGTGTCTCCGATCGAGAACTCAAAATAGCCAATTTTGACCTTTTCCCTGATTTAGCTCCCCAGGACAATTAGCTCCCGGAAGGTAAGGTCACTTTTTACACATCCTGTTATTTTATTTATTTTTTAATGTATTTATTCAGGGAGCCGATTCCGATGAGCATCCAGAAACATGGGACGACTATTGGGATAACCATTGGGAAGAATTTGATGAGCTCGTTGAAAATGGGGGGTACGTGGACAAGACCCCGCTTTTAAAATGGTTCATCTCTCGACGCCGTCATTTGGCCCTTCTTGCTCCACCGAAACTCGGCCGCACCACCAACCAGCTCATGATTAGGAGGTAATGTCCAATGTCTACATGTCTCAAACCCTCGCCGATGAATAACTTACACGAAAATGTGTTTACGATTTTCTGTAATGCGATGCACTGCGGTTTTTGCAACGTTGCGAATTTCCTGTCACGTCTTACATTCATTAAGATTCACGATGATGACTTATCATTTTAATCGCGCAAATACTCATGCGGTGTCGTTTTCCTTTTCAAGAAAATTCTTTGAGAATACACAAAAGTTTGAAGTAGTATTTATTTAAAAATAACAAAGCAGGAGTGCAGGAGTGGGAGTGGAGAGAGTGCGGGAGTGCGGGGAAGCATTGTAATGAAACTACAAGCTGTACAAGCATTGTATTTTGTTGTTTGAATTAAAGCTCAATTCATAAAAAAATGCAAGCCCTGAGGATTTTCTCAAACCCTCCACCCCTCCCCCCGAATACTTTTTTTCACTCAGTTAAAAACAGAAGAGATGGTCGAGATAGTTTTCAATAAGGTTTAAGAAGGCTGTACAAAAATGTTACTTTCTCACCAGACAATTCTTAAATTAAGGGACATTTCATTATAAGCTTTTAGGTTTTTCCTCCCATCAAGAACCCTAATCCTAGCCTCCTGCAGATTTTATTTATGAATTTATTTATTTATTTTTGAATGGCAGGTAAGCCCCCAAGAACCCCCTTTGCCCACCCAAGGCACTTGAACTGCAAAAAATACTCCGATGAAATTGTGTTTTAATGCTCGTGATTACTATCAACCTAAGGACCTCATGATTTTTTTACATGCTTCTTTATTTACGAATTTTCAGGTTTTTTGAAAAGGAAGTTATGCCCTTGGATGCGAATTACAAACCGACAATAAAAAAACCCGAGACATGGAACGAAACCGTGTTCAAGGACTTGGCAGTGTGCAAGGACCGGGCGTTTTGCGATGATCATTTTCGGAAATACCCAGTCATCTATTTGGATTTCAGCAACCTCAACACAACCACAGAGCTATCGTTTTTTCACAGTATACGATACCTGACAACCTATATGTGGATGGACCACGACTCTCTTCGCAACAGCAAAGCACTCAGCGAGAAAGAGGTGCGTAGCATTTCCTTCATAGTATTTATACGAGCATGCAAATACTGTCGTGAGTAAATGCGTCACCTCATGACATCATAACATTTTTAAGGTCCTGATGGCTTTCAAAAGACAGAGGCTGACGCAATTTGGTGACAGAGGTTTCAGGCAAGTAAAAACGAAATCATTACCTCAGTTTTATAACTAGACCAAGAGAAGAGGTAGACCTAAACAGGAGAAATTACAGAGTTGTCCTTGAAAATTGATCACACATTAGTGTTTTTTACGTTATTAAACCTCTTCCCTTCACGCTATTGTAGCATATGATACATGAAATCGCATCAGTTTTTCACGGAAAATCCGAATCTGAGCTTAGATTTTGGATATTATGCGTTTTAATCTATTTAAAATCGTAGGAGAAATTACAGAATTGTCCTTGAAAATTGACCACACATTAGTGTTTTTTACCCCGTTTTTCTTCTGCGTTCACGCAAGCCCGCCACATCTCATCTCGGGCCCTGGTACCAGTTTTCTGGCCCGGGCCCCTAGCGCAGAGGGGAGTCCGGGGAGCCTCCCTCGGCAAATTTTTGAAATTTTGAATCTATTCGGACGCATTTTGAAGCTCTTATGATGAAGATTTTCCATCAATGTCTGCAGAATAATTACGCCTTTTTTTACTTTCAGCACCAAATACTTTCGAATTGTTGCATTCAAAACATCTATAAATATTTTTTGAGGGGGGCAGATGATACTTTTCAATTCTAGGGGAAGCCGGGCCTCCCTGGACTCCCCTTTCGTACGTCTATGGCAAAGGAGTTGAGCCATTGAAGTCGAGGATGCCCAGACAGGAGCCTCTAAGCATCCGACAACGGAAGAAAATGAAACGCAGTTACTAAAAATATCATTCTATACCTACCCAAAAACCTACTTAAAATCTTGAAAATAGATAGAAATCTCTAAAAAAGTAAGACAAATTTTATAGTGCCCTAGTGTGTTTTTGAAACTTTATTCAACTTTTGCGGAATTTTTAGGGTAATTTTTTCACTTTTCCTTACGAGACAAGGGTTACACATGAATTCGTAGTGCACTGAGAAAAAACTATGGTTTATAAACCTATTAGAGGTAAATATGGAACACCTATAATGGTCGTAAATAAACTAATGATTCTCGGTCTGTGAACCATACTAAGGTCTCTGTACCTAATTAAGGTACCCCGTACCATAAGGTATATGTGCTATTATTATATGTAGAGGTACTACTATTAGTGGTGTTCCATATTTACCTCTAATAGGTTTATAAGCCATAGTTTTTTTCTCAGTGTGGTTTGTCACCTGCGTCACGGGCCCCTCCAGGGCCCGGGCCCCGGTATTAAGGACCCAGTACCCCCCCCCCTTGTGGCAGGCCTGGGAATGCGTATTGCATATCTACCCAGATGAAGGCGAGCACGCCCTGATCGTGCTCCAGATTTCCTTGAAGACATGACATACAAAATGCAGCAATTCAGAACGAAACCTTTTATTGATTGGTTTGAACAAAATAGCTTACCATTGGTGTGGATTTTTTTAATGATTGCAATTCTCCATCTCCATGCATGGTATCAAAAGAAAAAAAGTAATGCTACAATAATAATTTACGGAGCCGCAAACTGCGTGGTTTTTTGACAGAATTGCGAAAAGGATTTAAACCCAGGACCACGGAATATTGTTCATGTGGAATATGTTTTTTTACGGATGCATTTTGAACGCTGATAAAGTGAAAGCTCCGAAAAACATCCGAAAATTAGTTTTCCAGATGAACAATTTATCGCATGGTACCTACGGCTTTAAATCTTCTCGTACGAGTCGGTGATTCACGATGGAATGATCTTGAAATGATGAGTATAGTAGACTCTAAACTGTTAGATGCACAATACATGCTCTGTGAATCTACTAATGTAGCATCGTATGCTTTGTTAAGTTCTGAGTCGGTTCACTGTAACCATCGCCGTCTCATCGTATTTTACGCTTCCAAATTTTAGTGAAATTTCAATGTTTCGCAGCACGATAAGTTCATCAAGTACCGTCATCCAAGGGGTGGTATAGAGATGCCGAACGACTTCGTGGCTGCAGGTGGTTGGCTGCTTTCGTTGTGGCTCTGGAAGCACTATAACAAAACCTCCATCGTCCTAATTGACAACTTTGAAAGCCCAGCTGAGTGCCTCATTAACGCCAATGAAACTGAAAGAAAGGAAAAACTCAAACTTCTCCGCCCGTTACAGGTGAGATTCTTTCAACGGACTTTCTATTCGTGCACGTTCGTGGATTATTGAAAATATGAGAAAGCCGTAAGTACGCAAAAAATTACGTAGTCTCAGGCAAGACAGCAGCAAGTGACATTCTTCCTCCAAAGAGCCAATGAAAACAGTGTTTTCAAGTAAAGAGCCGCCCTCTTCTGCCAATTTCTAACCAGAAAATGTGTTTTTTGTGTGTCCAAAACACAACCTCGAAAGCGTGAAGAGGATATCACTTACGGCTGTCTTGCCTAACAATAGCCTAGCAAGAAAATGAAAAATACATTTTTTATGTATGATTGAAATAAAATCAGTCGAGTTTTAATCATCCAAACGATTTATAAGAGTCTTTCGGACGATTAGTGTCAATTTGACAAAGAACGGATGATTCTTTCAACACAATTTTCCGGTCAGAAGCTTCTGAGCCCGTTTTTTCAAAACTTCATTTTTGCACTTACTGCTCTCTTCGCTATCAAGGCAGCATTGTTGACGATTTTGGCGACGAATTTGTTGCAGGACTTCGTTGTGAAGCTGATTATCGGTAACGATCACGTGCATCACTCGTTGTTCATCGGTCAACGACGCATCGATGACTATCTGACGAAAGAGATGACGTCACTTGTCTATCAACCCCTCTTTGAGAGCGTCGAGCTGAGGCCTTTTTACGGGTTTTCAGAAGCTGAAGTTCAGGGTGTTATCAAGGAATTTAATCGCACCGACCACACGAAGAATATCATGGCCGATCTCACTAAGCACAAGGCTCCCGGCGGGCAGACGGTCTACTCTGCGTTCTCTATGCACGACTGGTGTAAGGCTGAGCGAAAGAAGGCGAAAGAAAAGCTTAAGAAAGAAAAGAAACGGAGAAGACGAGATATTGCTGTAGGTAAGAGTAAATATTAGACGTGGAAGTTCGCAAAGCGTTTTTAGTGGTTGTACCTGATTGCAAAAATCTTGGATTTTTGTTTGTGTTTTTTGAGAACTCAGGGGACCTCCACTCTCTGCCTTCGTATTTGGAATTCAGGAGGTCTCTCTTCGTGAATTTTGAATGTGTTCTACCATATTCCTTAGATCGCAAGTACAGGAATACCAAGTAATATAGTTTGCTCGACGGTATTCTTGAATGAACCTCTTTTACTCCTCTTATAAAGGCAACTTTTAAAATATGTTTAAAATTGGTGAGAACATCTGCAATGAAAATACGGTCTAAATAAAATGTTGACTTTTCACTGTAATAAAAAATAAATATTCCTTTTTTCTTATTTTTCCAATTGAAAACTCACACAGTCAAAGTTCCTCCTCGACAAAATCTATTTCATTGTGAAGGCAATATTTCAATACATGCCGTCATCCCTTATGACAATTGATTTTCCTCAATGACAAATTTTTGAGCTAATTTAGCTAAAATACTCTATTTTCTGTCATGATAAAGAATTAAGTAAAATTTATAAAAAAAAGGCCCTTGGAACTATTGGACTCAATGCTCAAGCAAAGAAGTGAAACATTAGGTGATGAGCATTATTGAGCCTGGATTCAAACATAGGTATTCTGCAGTAAGAAAAAACGCCGTAGGAACATTCAAATGTTGCCAAATCTCCTCTGACATAATATTTTGGAAGAAGCATATTTTGGCATGAAATTTCCAGGTATTTTACGTTAATTTGCGAACAAAATATTTCGAAAAATTGGAAGAAAAATATTTAAGATTTTTCCGCAATTCTTATTTTATCAACGTACTCTTGGCAACGCTTGGAGGTTCTTACGGCGTTTTTACTGAGCACGGCAGTACTGCACGTAATTCCACAGAATCCCTCCTAACCTCAGTACATCTCGTCTTTGACCCGCAGCAACCAAGCACCATCGACCGTGAGACCTTCGAGGAGGTGGTGCGCTCCGGAGGCTACGTCGATAAATCCCTGTTGATCAAGCACTTCATCTTGCAGAGGAAACACCTGGCCATCCTAGCGCCGCGACGGTTCGGCAAATCCCTCAACATGGAGATGATCCGAAAGTTCGTCGAGATCCCTATCGACCAGGAGGGCCGTAAGATCTACGACTGCACGTCCGGGGACTTCTTCGCTTTCAACCAGCTCGCCGTCTGCTCGGACAAGCACTTCTGCCACATGCACTACGCCGCCCATCCCGCCATCTATCTGGACTTCCACGACCTGGACCTCACAGACCACGCCGGGTTCTACAACTCCTTCCGGCAGCTCATCTTCAACCTTTTCATCCAGCACGATTACCTTAAGGCTTCGGACATCCTCGAACCGGAGAACTTCGACAAGTTCAACAACTACCGACACCCGAAGCCACCCATGAAGGACGAAGACGTCGCCTACGGACCTTGCGTCTTGACCCGGTTATTAGCCACCCATTTCAATGAGAGCTGCATTGTTTTCATCGACAACTTCGACGCGCCGGCGGCTGAGATGATGGTTGTGCAGGACAATAAGTTCAAGAAAGTCGTCATGAGCGCCTTGAGATACCTCGTCAAGGACCTGGTTGCGAGTAAGTTCGTGAGTCACTCGTTGTTCTCGGCGTTGGATTTCATCGCGCCGCGTGATATACCCGAACTAACCTTCGTGCCCGTACTCGAGGACGATGCCTTCGGAAGGTTTTATGGGTTCCGAGAGTCCGAGATTCGGGACCTGTTGACGAGGTTCAACGCTCTCGACCACATGGATGAGGTTAAGCGACTCTTCTACGGCGGTTACAAGGTCAAGAATCGTACTAAGGTGTTCCGCGCGTTTTCTGCGGTTAAGTTCTTGGAGGACAGAAAGAAACGAACCACTGGGAAGGTTACGGTTGCAAGCTAAAACGTCATGGTTGTGAAAAAAATGAATAAATGTTTTGACTGATAATGTGAGCCCTTNGGGGGGGGGGGGGGGGGCAAAGGGCTTGGCTTTACGTCAGGTTTTGGGAATGGAGGTTTTTCGGACGTAACCTGCTGAAGTGTGTTTTCAGACGCAATGGGCCTATTTTCTGCCGACAACTCAATGCAACTATCATTTCAGCAATTTGTTTGGTACGTAGCTCGATGTTTGTTTACTTACATGATAAATTCACCTTCATTGGACAATTTGAACGATTTCTGTTTCAATTACATGTAAATCTCATATTGATCAAAACGTGAAATAAAATGAATGAGTTAACTGTGACTTAACTGATTAGAATAAAGCTGTAGATAGAATGTTATCAAAATATATTTTATTTAAAATTAAAAATCCTTGCGGTTAGAAGTCGAATATACTTTTTATACTACAATAAAACCATTTCGTATACCTTACCGATAAAGTGATCACCAAGATAAGACAAATATATACACGCAATCAAACAATTTTTGCAAGATGTCATTATGGAATAAAATATTCAAAACTACGGAAGTTAATAGAGCCAAGTTCATTCATTTGTCATGAGAAGGAATGAATGGGTCCTTCTTCCTATTACATCATCCATTCCCAGTTCAGCCAAGATAGTTACATGCGCGAATCACAGATCAATATGCCAACTAGGATCGATCATTGGTCAATGCTCAGTCACTGCACTGACACGACGCGACCTGCTGCTTCTGAACAGTATCCTGATCCGATTTGACGAAATATACATCGAAAATTTATATATCTGGCTCACAATTTGCGTCCCCTTATGGCGCATGGACCAAAAGAATAAATAATTAGAGAAAAGATATTGAGATCAAATGATTGAATACTAGGGAATAAATGATAGATAGAGGATAAATAATTAACGAGTAAATCATTTGAGAATAGATATGTATTCGCTTGGTCCGTGCCCATTGGACGAGATGTTGAGAGAGTTCGCGACACGGTTCAACGTTCCACCAGCCAGCGCAGCATCACCACTCACCAGGAACAGGTCCACCTGCCACTGACTTCTGCTCCCCTAATACTCGCTAGGGATGGCGATTTTTAATCGGAAAAATCGATTGAATCGGATCGGTTTTCCGTAGTCGATTAAAAAAATCAGAATAGATTTTTCGATGTCAATTATAAAACGGAATCGGTTTTTCGAGGTCGAGTTTAAAACGGAATCGATTTTCCGAGGTCGATAGTAAAACGGAATCGATTTTCCGAGGTCGATAGTAAAACGGAATCGATTTTTTGAGCTGAAATCGTATTATTGAAAAAAAAAAATCGCAATTTCTTACGTTGATGTGTCACATAAAGCCTAGGTTCTATGAATTCCGAGTTTCCTTCCAAGTTCAGTATTAGTATTAGTTATGTCTTCGGCGCCGAACTTGGATTTTGAGTGTTTTAAAATCGATTTTTTCCATCCGATTTTAAAATCACATCGATTTTTTCCCGAAAATCAAATCGATTTCCTGAAATCGATTTATTCGAAAAAATCGCCATCTGTTGCATACCTTAGCTTGTGGCTACGATCATAAATCACTTTGAATTTTGAGTGGCCAGAGATCGATCACTTTAACTGGCGAGAAACCCATGAGGTTATTCTGCACTTTTTTATCTGCGATTTTCCCCAAAAATTAATCTCCGAAAGTAAAGTAAGCGATTCACCAGATCTGCGGTTTTAAAATGCGATAAAAATTAATGATAAAAAAGCTTGCACATGGTCGGTCACTCGATTATCACAGTCAGATACACTGCAATTGCGATGAAGTATAGTAAGAAGGTAGCAGCGTAGGAGGGGAAGGTAGCAGGGTAGCAGGAACAGAGCAGGGATTGATGCTATTTTATTTAAAAACTTCACCCCCTTGTTGACGCGGGTACTCACCCAATCACGTTTTTCTTAGATTACACTGTAAAAAATCAGTGGTACTTTTAATTTTGATTACAGAGAGCATAGGGAAATAACGTCTGCTTAAGTTGACCTGTGATAAATCACAGCTTAACAACCACTGCTATTTTCAACTGTGAGCCAGCGAACGGTTGAAAATGACTTTTTTTTTTTTTTTTTTTTTTTTTTTTTTTTGCATCGTAGTTATGCTGTAAAAAATCAATGCATACCTTCGAATTTTACTACACTGCTGCCGTCTTTCAACTTTCAAGTGAAACAATCTTGCAAAAGTTATTTTTAAAAGTTATATATTTAAAAAGTTTCTTTAGAACCTAAAGATACCAATGCGGACTTTTGGGGTGACTCCCGCAAATTCAAAATTTGGCGGGGATATTCATAATGCAGGACAACAGCCAATCAACAGCTATCTCGATGCTCCATTGGCGCCATCTTCTACTGCAGCGCTCTCCGGCGTTCTATTTGTAAACTATTAGAAAGTGGAGCCGTGATTGTTTTGTTGTGATGTGACTCATTGTCGGTATCAATTAAGATAACTCTTATCTTTTTCAATCATTTTTGCATTTTTTTCTAAAGTTCAATCGTATCTCTCTTTTGCCAACCTCTGGCTTCATTTTTTTTCACCAACCGATCTTTATTTCGATTTTCTTCTTGTTCAATCGTGATTCCCGTTTGTACGTGTTTTGAGGTTAGAATGCGGACTGAAAGCGTTCTAACTATTAATTAAGTATGATGTTCTGAAAGTCTAAATAGTTTCCTGCTGAGGAATCAGCAACAAAAACTTTCTTTCTGATTCGGTAGTGGGCAATCTTTCGTTACATGCCTCTCAAGTATGAGTTGATTCCTCTGAACAATTTCATCCAGAATGCGACAATGTGATCTCTGGTGAAGTTTCTCCTCTCTAATGTGTATGTTCTCAACATGAAGTTTCTCTTTACTCTCGAGTAAAATCGCGCAGTAAGTAATTATTGCATCCCAATTTTCTCATTTGTTATACTTTACCTTCTCATGAACAGAAGTAAGATAATAGCCTCAAGGTAGTCTCAATTTTTGAGTCTGCTGAAGATGATGGATGCATCGACAGTGAAACTCACGATGTCTTGACGTTCCTACTTAAGATTTGCCTCACAGCCAGACGTCTAATTTGTGGCTAAAATCCTGATTCATTCCACTTTATGAATTGATACTGAATGATCTTGGGGCAAGATCCATCACTATGTTGTGCTGCTATACGATTTATGTATTTGTGAGTCAATAATCATTTTCATGTAGAAATTAATGCAAGGAATTCATTCACAATGCAAAGCAACATTAATGCGAGTACCATGACATCATATTTGTGAAGATTCATGTATATCAGAAACTACTCACTGTAATGGATGGCGCAGGCACACATAGACTCATTGTGTAAGAGAGAGATCACGTCATGATCATTTCAAGCAATTAGAAGTTCAAAGCATCTTCACTCAGAGCTATTTTCTCCCTATTTTACTCGCACCTCCTAAGTTCAATGAGATAGCATCAATGATGGGCACTGATTTATCAAAGATTTGAATTACAACTCAACACACAATGAGTTGGTCTTATCATGCCACCAGTGTTGAAAATTAAGTGGTCCAAGTGCATACCCTAGCATAAATATTTTGATTTAATGTAGGTTTACTTTTTATTAGATTTCAGTAATCTCTCACACATTGTAAAAATGATTTTCAAGTAATCTGAAAATGTATTAAATCACAGGAAATGAGGGTGGCCAGCTTTATTTCTAGAACGAAATGAGAGATCAACATGTCCAATCCTGGTCCACCGGTTTCTGTGAGAAACTCTTCGCTTCCGCAGAATGTGAACGCATCCAGGTAAGATGTCTTTTCAAATGATTTTTTTTTTTTTTTTTTTTTTTTTTTTTTTTTTTTTTTTTTTTTTTTTTTTTAATTTGCAAGATAATGCAGTACATTTTTACTCCTTTGAAAAACAATCTGCTCTTTTTATGGCGTGTGATAGATAAATTTTTCACAAGAAAGTAACCTTATTTCATTTGATAAGTGAGAAATTTTGTAGAAATACTCGTTTTTTCATTCACTTTTGAGAACAGTGATTGTGACCAGATTTGTGGAATGGGTCTTTATCCTCTGGGAGAAAGTTTGCCCTAATTTGTTGCGTATGCCTGATTGAAGAAAATCTGAAAATTTTGGTTCAAGGGGCCCTAAAAGCCAAAAAATTGAAGGAAATATGAGACCTGAAATTCCAAGACAAAGAGTCTTAGTTTGTAGAAAAATGTGGTTTAAATTTTAGAAAAATATAAAGAAAATTTTTTCCAAGAAGATATGGTCCCTTTTCACAGATCCAGTCACAGTTCTTTGTTTTTCCTTTTTAAGTAAAAGAGAAGGGGTGAGATGAGAGTACGGTAGTTTCCATGAAGTGCTCCCCATGCCAGTTATTATTTTTTAGTATCCTCTCTTCGTGTTGAGTGCTAAGATACTGGAAAAAAGGAACATCAATCTCTAAATGTATCCATAGAGTACATAGAGTCGTAATGTAACTGGGAGAGCTGGCGCCATGTTCTGCTCGACGAATTCCGAGCCCGGTGTGCGCCGAGTTCGGGTCGCTTTTTCGATACATTTTCGATCCAAAATGGCGGTGTGGAGTACATGGTAATCCCTATCTCCTTTGTTGTTGTTGTTGTTGTTGTTGTTGTTGTCATCGGATGGCCGGGTACCCGTGTTCCCGTGTATCGCAAACAATCGATTATGTATCGAAAAAGTGACCCGGCGTCACACAGGAGTCTCGGAATTCGGGACATGGAAAATGCTTAAAAGTGGCGCCAGCTCTCCCAGTTACATTACGACTCTATGTACTCTATGAATGTATCTTATCTCTCTTATACACACCCTTCGCTGATACGACAATTGTTTGCGATCAATAGCAGTTCATGTAGGCTTTTTAAATTTAATTTTCTGTCAATATTCTCTTTGAGGTTGTTCTCTTTTATTAACATCATGACTTTTTTTTTTCTAGGAATCCATGGACTGGCCCATCATACCAGCAAATGGTCACCTCAAATTACTACGAGCCAGAATGTTCAAGCCCCAGTTCAGAAAATGGAAGTCGCATCTATCATGTGATAGATGGACCCGGTCCTCCCATAAACTACGATGCCAATGGATCAAAACCTGCATCCTCAAAAATTCGCAAACAACCTGCACCAGTACAAAATCATCACTTGGTGAGTTGTGCTGCAGATTTTCATAGATTCTCTCAACCATCTCATTGAGATTACCCAAGTACTTATATAGAGTGGGTTATAAAATGAGCACGCAAAAAGCAGGGTCATGGCTTTAACAAAAAAATTAAGAGTCTTGAATAGAGAAGATATGTTGAGCGAATTTTGAATGGCGAATGAATTCTTGGCAGCTCAAGTTAAATCTCTGGAAGGGACTGCGTCCATTACAAAATAATTCACTCACTTTTAAACACAAATTTTTCTCAAAGTAAGTTGTTATTATTTTCATAATCTATTTTGCTATCTGCTCTACAGGTTCCACACCCGCAAGGTGTAACAACAATGAAGAAGTTACCTCCTCTGGAACAACTCCCTCGCATGCCGCACCTCCAAGCTAGTCATGATTCTGTCCGCGGCCCTCCGCAGTTCTACACACGGGACTCATTTCCCCGACACTTTCGACCACCGAGCCAAGGAGATTATCTGGAAGAAATACGACCACAGCCGCCATTTTATAATGTGGGGAGTGGTCGAACCTCACGGGCCACATTGGACGTACCACTGTCATCAACCACTTCCGATGATGATGGAGGAGGAATTGATGCTTGCGGCGGACATTGTGTTGCATTCGAGAACTTTTGCCACTATTGTCTCCAGGTAAATCTACTTATAATATCCGATGGGTTAAAATCATCACAAAATCAAGATTATCTAAAGTACCATTTTGCTGCTCTGAACTTTTTTATACATAGGTTTTTTTTAGAACAAAATGTTTAAAATTTTCATTTCATTTTCTTAAGGTCCGTATCCTGTCCATCAAAGTAGAGAAAATGTGTCAAGGATGTGATTTTTGTTTGTATTTTTGAAATCTTCAACTATCGATGATTCCAAAAGAATTTTATTGATGAAAATATTACTCATACTGTAATAGTTTTGCTTGGTAAAAAGTGTGATGCTGTCGTCTTTGCTTTTATGGCAGAAATGTCTTCTTGGATAAGTTTTAAATATCATTTCTGCTATTCTCAAGATTCACTTACTGCTCATATTGTTTTTCAAAGTCTTAGTTAATATTGTTTTTGAGAAACTTACTATTTAATAATGGCAATGTTCATGCACAGTTTCATAGAATTGCTCCTTTAAGAATTCAGTAGAAGTCTCTTTGACTGCCAACTTAATGTATTTAGTTTCTTAGATTCTCATACCTTGTAGTTCCTTCTTGTGGAAAGTGTGAAAATGAACTAAGACTTAATGTTGAAATTAATAGTTTCTTAATATGCCATCAGAGAGCAGCTGTATCCATTTTTCCATATTACCTTGCTTACTTATTGTGCGTATAGCTTTTAAGAACAAATAAGTACTAGATAATTTCAGAGTAATTTTTGACCTAAGCATTCATTCCTCAACTTATGCAAATCTCTTTTTTCAGGTTATTTTCATAGCAGGAATTTTAACGGGAATCTCATTGATGATTGCTGGTTCAATTCTCATTGGTCAGCGAGGCAATGATGATAATCATTCTGATTACATTTACATTGGATGTCTCATGATGCTTGTTTGCACACTCTTGCTCTCGGTCCAATGCTGCGTCCGACGTAACGTGAAGCGGCGCAAGCGTGCTTTGCGCCGACAAGCAACTCGACGGAGACCATCGTCAGCACACACTTACAACGACCGCATTCCCCTGAATGATATTTCTCCACCATCATCAACAATTAGAGAAATATCTCTCCCATCGTCAACGACGAGGGACATTTACCCAGTCAATGGTCAGCTGAGTGCACTGAATACTCAAAACATTAGTGTCCATGACAAACTAAATTCAACAATGGATTCCTCTGCAAGGTAGGTTTGAGAATTTTTCACTCAATATTTTCAGATCTCTTCCCTCTCCATGGCAATCATTTCTGCCATCAGAGTTGGATTTATTTATTGATTACTTATAGTTCGGGGTATCATTTTGAATATGATAGATTCGGTCTTCACAAGATGAGGAATGAACAATGTGTCCAAAGATGAAGAAATTACAAAATACATTTTTGTAAAAAGTCTGTTTTACACAAGAGGTATGGATGAATAAACCACTTTAAGAAGGTAAAAAAAACTGTTAAAAAATTATCATGAGCGTCAGGGGTGTAGAAATTGTGCTCAATTGGCCAATTGCAGAGTTCATTTGAAGGCACCTTTAAAAAGAGAGAAAATGTGAAGGCATTTGTAAGTAAAACGTGTCATTCATGAGATAAAAACTACCTAGTGAGCACATTCATATTGGGGGGAAAACTGTAACATGCTCTTTTCTACAAAGAAGATAGTGAAATGCGCTCTTTTATGCACCAAAAAAAAGTAGTCAAGCACACAATTCTTTTTTTTGTAATCAACTACTGCCATAGAAAAATACAATTTTTTAGAAAAATTCGCTCGGTCTTCTGCAATCTCTTTTACAAATATCAATGAAATGAATCAAATAGAAAGTAATCACTACAGAAATATCTCACGCCTAATATTGACTTTAATTTTTCAGCCAAAGTGGAATACCTTGGTGGCGCAGACAAGAGTTTGAAGATCTTATGCATCAACACAATTTTGTATGAAGATTACCTTGACAACTGTCCAAAACTGGTTGCTAGAAGATACCACTTGTACAGATAAGTTAGCTTTACTTCTGATCACTAATCACTAGGAATATACATCTAAATGGAAAGACCTTCATAATTGTCATTTCTTTAACAGTACGAGCATCAATGAGAGGTCAATGTCCTCATAAGCAGCATTTCCTGCGTAATTTATAGTAGATAAGTGATCAGACGTAGGCTTTTACAGACAAACCTCCTGCTTATATTTGTTATTTTATTTTTTATTTCCAAAGAAAAAATTTAGAGGAGATGGCTTGAGCTGCTCCAGTTCTCTACCAATTTTCAGTCAAAATGTTTAAGTTAGACTCAAGCTTCATCAAATACATACTAAACTCCTAGACAAATCCTATTTGTTTTAGTATGACGCACAGTCCGCATCCTTTAAAGCTTCCTTGAAACTTGTATGATGATTTCTGTAACTACATTATGAAATTATGCATTTTGACACTATATGTTCCTTTTGTTTGTACATACATGCATTAAATATCTTGAGTACTGTAAGTAAGAAGCCTCTTAATCGGTTCTTTTCTACTTTAAAATGAGCGAGTGATTAAATTTTATTGTAAATACGTACGTGTAAATTGAGAAAGATTAGAAGTTGCTTGTTTTTCAGCTAGCAAGCATTTTCCCCTCTTATTTTCTGTTTCTCCTTTTCATAATTTTACTGACCTATTTGTAACTGATGGGAATTCAATCAGATTTGACCTAACTTTAAACATCTGATCTATTTTAAATGAGGTGCTCTCAAAAACCAAGGATGGATAGTTCGAAAGCACAGAATTCGATTCTCTATTTTCCCTACTCATAATATGGGTAGACGTTCAAAACAGTCTACATTTTTTTCATTCATATATGAAATGAAGACAAGTCACAGCATAAGTGGAGACAGATTAACACGAAATGCAAGTTTCTTTCATCTAGATCGCTATGAACAGCTGATAACTTTCGGACCAATCAATTTGTAAAAGACATTGAAACAATAATATATAGCTATAATTAAAAATAAAACAGAAAGATGAAGCTAGCGAGGTATGCATGATGGAAATGGACACTGTGTGTTGGGAAGCTTTTGGGAAACTGCATCGCTTTATTTATCAATCATTTTACTTTTAATTTTTCAATTTTTTGTAAAACCTTGGCACTGCTTTACAGTTGTTGCCTCAAACACTGAAAAATCGATGGCTGATGAAAAACACCGATTATTTGCCAATTGACGATTTCATAGGATGAAGAAAAAACTTCGCCATTTTTGTGATTTTGAGGTTAAGTTAGTGATTTCCTTTATACATTAGAGTGTCATTACAGCGTTCTCATCTGGGATGGGAAGAAACTAAAAACATTAGCTTGCTTATCATTACTGTAGAATGTGGCAAAGACTGCAACTTATTTTTGCCTGAATTGTCAGCTGAGCGATATTGCTCCTTAGCCCTAGAAATCTAAATCAATGTATTGTAATTGATTTTACAACATAATTAACTGTGATAAAAGTAATTTCGGAAAGGAAGAACTGACTAGTATAATGTTCAGAAATTATCAAGACCCACTTAATTGAATTTCTCCAGTATTTGGAATAGAAAATACTGAAGAGAGAGAATGATTAAATTATAAATGCTAATTCAGTCCCTGTGTCAAAAATTTTTCTGGATCTTTCTGCTCTTCCTCTCAAAATTTTGTGAATTCACGGTTTTGCAGTAGCGGAAGAATCATCTGAAGAACTAAAAACTTCTTTTATCGAGCTTTAAGAGTATTTACTGAAGTAGTCAATTATAATTTAAGGAACCCACTTACAAATTGGAAACTGTCACCCTCTCCTTTTTTTTTCTTTATGATGTAATATCTATCTCTACTCATGGAATGGTTTCATAGCAGTTCTACCCGCAGAGAAAAGGAGAGAGTCTTAGTTGCCAAAATTTTTCATTTGAATTGGAATGTAACCACCCTTGTTACAGGTTGTTTCAAGTCAACGCCTCCTAATTCTGCATTTTCACTGCAGTGACATTTTTTGCTCAAGATTTTTTCTTTTAAAGTAATGAAATTTAATTAATTTATTTAAATCATATTTTTTTACTACTCTCTATGGCTCCTGAAGATTCATTTAATTTTTGTCAGTTCTATTGCAAGCAACCTTTGCTGATGGACTTTAATCAACTCGGAGAATTTAAGAAATATTATTCGGTTATTCTATTGGTAGTATCATACCAAAGTGCTCAATGTTTAGGCTCTCAATTATCTATGTATTTCACGTTTTTACTAAAATTTATTCTGTCTTATTTTTATATTTTTTGTATACTTTTCACTATTTTCAACACCTAATTGTAAGTATGTATTTTAGAATTGTTCAATTTTTCATGAACAAGTGTTGGCATCCACATATTTCACTTCAATATAGCTCATTATAAAATACCTTACCAGCAATGGTAATTCAGTTGTAAATATGCCAATAAGCATGTGCCAATAAATTAGGTAGTTGGTTTCTAATTCTATCCAATCCCCCTTCACTCATCAGATAGTGGGGCCATGTGTATCACTTCCATTTTACAAACACAGTTCTTAAGAAATGTTTTTTCTGAATGCGTCACAAAAATTGTGATAAATTTTACGTCTCGTAATTAGGAAAAATGTTTGTTTTCGAAAGTTTGGTTCAAACCTTAAAAGAACGGATCTAAGTCTGAAAAAATGAATCCAGAAATATTATCAAAGGAAAAAGATGTGTGTATTATCTTTATGAAGTAACTAATCAAGACTAGGAACGGAGTCCATATTATATTGATAAAAAAAATACTCTGAGGAAGAATGTTGTTCCACCTCAGAGCCATTTTCAAACACTTCTAAGACCTCAGTTCTGTGATCAACTTGATTTTAACTGCCAGACCCCTTTCCATCGAACTGATTTTTTAAAATAATTTTCCCTAGCTGACGAAAGTTCTTTTTTAGAAACCATTTACACTAAATTTGCCTCCTTTTTCAGTGCCTTTTAATAAAGTTGAGAAAAGTTATTTGTTTCAATTCGTGCCCCTTTAATTTTGATGTATTGTAAATTATTATTTTATTTTTTTTGTAACTTAATTTGATAGCATACTTATTTTTGTACAGATCCATTAGTCAAGATCGCAGTATGAAAAATCCTTATTTTTATTCTCTTTTGTAAAAATAAACCATTTACTTTTATTTACTTAGGTAAATTTTTTTAAAATATTTAATAAACTTGACTCTCTTTACTTTAAAAATAGCTGCTTTTTCTTTTCTACTCTTCTTCCTTGTAATTGTCCCTTCTATTATATACACGTATTTATGCTAAAAGGAACTCTGTGTGCCAATATTGTTCCTTTTAGTGTGAATGCATCCAAATAGGTTTTCCATGCTTTTTCAAACTGTTTTTTTCCAATTTTTCAAATCAATTCCTAGTGGTTGTTCTGATTTTCAAAGGGGTTTTTTTCTTCTTCTTTTCTATTTAACCCAAGCTTCAAGGCTTTAATATAACAAATCACACCCATGAACAAAAAAAAAAGCAAAGCCTTCAAGATGCTGCCAGGCTGATCATTGGCCATCAATTGTGAGAAGCTTGGAGGACAAGGCGCCTAAGTGCAGATTTTGAAAAAATTAAGATATTAATCATTTCAAGTAAAACTAGTCTTAATGCATCTTTTGTAAAAAATTTGCTCCCAATTTCCGCCTTAGCAAGGCGATGGAAGGGTAATATTGAAGTAGCGTCCCCGCGTTGTTTTTCGGTTTTCCTGTGCTGCTTCTGTAGTTTCGACCATTAAGGCCGTAGTTTAAGGGCGCTAAAGCCAAGGTTGTATTTCGAAAATGGATAAGTTTTGCAGAATAATTGAAATTAAGAAGCAGGAGTAATTTTACTAAATAATAAAGGGTAATCAAATCAGAAATATAATGCAAAACGATTTGGAAAATCTCGTCTTGAAAATACAGAAGATTCGAAAACCTCTTCAATTGAGCGTGATACCTCACGCGTTCCGGAGAGTTCAAATAGTTGTATCCCTGCGCCTTAGCAAGGCGATAGAAGATTAATATTGATACAGCTCCCCGTTTGGTTTTTCGGCTTTCCTACGCCGTTATTGCAGTTTCGACCATTAAGGCCGTAGTTTAAGGGCGCTAAAGCCAGGGTTGTATTTCGAAAATGGATAATTTTTGCAGGATAATTAAAATTCAGAAGCAGGAGTAATTTTACTAAATAATAAAAGAAACTCAAATCTACGATATAATGCAAAAAAATTTGGAAAATCTCGTCATGAAAACACAGAAGATTCGAAAACGCCTTCAATTGAGCGTGATACCTCACGCGTTGCGGAGAGTTCAACTAATTGTATCCCTGCGCCTTAGTAAGGCGATAGAAGTTTATTTAAGCAGCTCCCCGTTTGGTTTTTCGGCTTTCCTGTGCCGTTACCGCAGTTTCGACCGATAAGGCCGGAGTTTAAGGGCGCTAAAGCCAGGACTGTTTTTCGCATAAAGATAATTTATGCAGAATAATTAAAAATTAAGAAGCAGGAAACTCGTAGACGAAATTCATAAAATACCTACTGCCTTGAATTTTACAGTCAAATATTTTCAAATTATTTACGTAGAAATTTTCTATAATCTTCACATTTTTATTTTTTAACAGATAAAAAAAGTAAGGGAAGATCAATAGTTGTTTTGCAGCACTTTGAAAAAAAATGTAAAACCTTTTCTTTGTTAAAAAAGCATGACTGGTGAATAATGGCAATTCCGCACAAAACAGTTCGGAGTGCTCTTGCTAGTTTTACATAACTCTCTTGATTTTTAGATTGCATGAATCGTCTAGGGAAAAAAATAATGGATAGGTCTCCGACACCTAACATTCGTTTTGCCCCCCTCAAGAGTCGAGAAGAAGCTACGAAGTAAAATTGCCTTCAATTGACATGATAGGCAAAAGAGGGTACGCAGGAGTTGTAATAGTTGTATCCGCTCCTCCACTCAAACAACCGTATCGGAGAGAAAAGATTGCTGCCGTAGATGCCAGCAATGACTTATGCCTAACCTGTATTCACGTATGTGCACAGAAAGTTATCGATGTCAAAAGAATATTCTTCTCACGATGTGGAAAATATTAGAGCGCTAGTGGCATTTTGATGGCTCGACTTCGAAAACCATTTTCAAAGTATTCGGTCGGCGACTTGCAAACTTCTCCGCATAGGTACTTTGCTTTTTAGTAAAAATTAATGGCTATCAGTTTAGCTCGTTCCTCTTCTAAAGGAAAATATTGTCCGATAAGCTGCATTCAGCATGAAATAATTTGGAATACATTTTGCAATGAAGAACTACAAATTGTGGCTCAGTTTAGAAACAACATATGTACCGTTAGTTTCTCCATGCACATAGGTGTTTTTACGAATGAGCCAAATATTGTAGATCCTATAATTTCAAAATGTAGTTCAATTGAACATTGACCGCACTGACTCATTAAACAACCGCTGGCAGTAAAACAATATTAATAGTGCATGAGATAATCCACGGGGGGGGGGGGGGGGGGTTGGTGGTACGCTCTCCACCACCTCAGTTGGCGCCCTTTAGCCAAAGCAAAATAAGTCGTAACTAAATCCCAATTTTCTTTTCTTTTTTTCCGACAAAACGCTCTATTACAAGCAAACCAACGATTATTCATCCTTTACGTAAATTTTGGAGGGACCGCGCGCGGTCACTGGGCAATCGTTTATATAATCATTTGATCCTATTAGTTTTTATTTTTTTAAATTAAATATTGAAATAATTTTATTTGAAATTTTAAATTAATTTCTATATTTTCATATATTAATATTTTTTTAATAAAACTAAAGATTATCGCGGAAAAATGCAGCATGATCATGATCAGGTTTTCTGGTATTATAACAGTTTAACTGGACGCTTCCTGCAAAATCTGGGTAGAAGTTACAGCCGATTCGCTTTGGACGAAAGTCTGCTTAAACTAGCTGCAAGTCCATTCCTTAGGTTCTGAGTAGAGCACCCATTTAGGGAGAGTACGGACAGGTCGAAATATAGAGCTCTTAGGGCTCAAAAAGGCAGCCAACCTTCTAACACGAAAAAAGTCACTGCCGATTTTCAAATTCAAATATCAAACCAAAATGGGTAAGAATGCTCGTTCATGCATGAGCGTTTTTCCACAAACATGAGTAAATTAACACAGAAACCAATACATGCTTTAAAAAAGATGGGTTGTAAAAATTTTAATAATAAATCGCCCTGGATTTTTTTTTTTTTTTTTTTTTTTTTTTTTTTTTTTTTTTTTACCAATTTTAAAAAAGCCCATGAGGCTAATCTCACGTTTATTATTTGAATTCATAGTTTGGCTGCCCTTTCGGGCCCTAAAAGCTCTATGAACAAACCTCAAAATTACCGACAAGTCCGTAAACTCTACCTATACAGATACTTAAGGTCTGATTGTGAGAACAGACGACAGAATTTCATTTCCTTCTATTGCAATTCATCCCTAAAGCAAACTCGAGCATGGCTAATGACCATGGACCACGGCGCACAGTGGGTCGAGTCAATAGGAGAGGTCGGACAAAATTTGGAAACATACCTAGACGCTTATAACTCCGTTTATACAAAACTTCGAAGTTTTAAAAGTGGTTACGTTTGTCTCCTTATCAAATTTTCTATTAAAAGCACACCTCAAAATTCAAAATGTGACGAAACAAACATCAAAATTTGCAGTATCAGTAAAAAATTTCATGGTCGACCTCTCTAACCGACTCGATCCACCGTGCGGCGTGACCCAAAAGAGTCGAGCCTATACTAGAAATCAAAAAGAGATGCGCCTTTCCCGCTGAGTTTCATCGGGATAAACACACGAAAAATTAGCGGGATCGAGGCCGCAGCGGGTGGGGGGGGGGGGCAG